AGTAACGACTCTCACCCCGGGCGCAATGATCACCAACTCCGTTTCCGTGGTTACCCGCTTTTATCGATTGCTAGTTTTTCGTCGTCAGCTGTAGCGAAGAGGAGGAAGCAGAGGAAGCGGAGGAAGAGGAGGAGCGCAGACGCGATGCCGCGGCGACATCACGTGCGCAGCTTCACGAAGCTCTTACAGCGCAGCGATTACAAACGTGATCTCCGCACCGGCCATACGTGCGCCGACACGTGCACCTACCTACACACGTGCACGCACCTACATACGTGCACCTACCTACACACGTGCACTCACACCCACACACGCGCACCTACCTACACACGTGCACTCACACCTATACACGTGCACCTACCTACACACGTGCACCTACCTACACACGTGCACCTACCTACACACGTGCACTCACACCCACACACGCGCACCTACCTACACACGTGCACTCACACCCACACACGTGCACCTACCTACACACGTGCACCTACCTACACACGCGCACCTACCTACACACGTGCACCTACCTACACACGTGCACTCACACCCACACACGTGCACCTACCTACACACGTGCACCTACCTACACACGTGCACTCACACCCACACATGCGCACCTACCTACACACTTGCACTCACACCCACACACGTGCACCTACCTACACACGCGCACCTACCTACACACGTGCACCTACCTACACACGTGCACTCACACCCACACACGCGCACCTACCTACACACGTGCACATCCACCCACACACGTGCACCTACCCACACACGTGCACCTACCTACACACGCGCACCTACCTACACACGAGCACTCACACCTACACACGTGCACGCAGGTGAATGCATGCACTAACTCTATCACTCACGTCCACACACGTGCACACATGCATACACGCACTCGTGTGCATAGACACGATCATTCACGCATACACATGCATGCACGCACGCACGCACGCATACGACAGCGAAAGCAAGCAAATGACTTGGTGCATTAATTCATTGCCAGTTGATGCTCCAGTCAGTACAACAACACTTGACATATTCATATATGCAATCCCTTCACGTATATGAGCTCAGCACGTAGACAAGAAAGACTACGCCAGAAGCTAAGCAGTGTGTCGCCTAACAGCGTTAAAATTATATACGCACTGCATTAGTTCATATATTACATATATTACACACCTCAATCTACAACTGCACACTTAAATGGGCTCTTCACACTTTTCCGTGCTTTGCGCAGCATGTATATATTATATACGTGCAACAAATTTAGCAAGATGCCTGCATGCTAGAGAGAGCAAGGAAGATGCAGTAAGTAGACTGGCATTCATATTTGATGACATAAGCCGTGAATAACAGAGAACTTGAAAACGAAATTCCCCATCTTGCTGAAATACTGCCGATATGAACTGAGGGGAGCATATATACAAATGCATTCCGAGTTGACAGTGTAAGTAAGTTTTTAGTGAACAACACAATGAACTGATTATCTTAAATTTTACAAACAGAAAGACATATTATATATATGAGGACACAGACAGACAGACAGACACGTGCACAGACAGACAGTCAAGCTGTCAGACAGGCAGACAGGCAGTCAGACAGGCAGGAGTGGGTTACTGTACACGGCAGACGTGTAGCCGTGGATGTACGCAGCAGCCTACGCTACTCTCATCCCACACAGTCTGGCAGTCTCCTACAGAACAAATGCATTTGCCATTGTTGGTCACAACCTGCTGCTGCGGCTCGGATCAATTCCGCAAGCAGTGAGTCCATCCAGAGGCGAGGCGGAGAGCGCCACTGTACCTTCACGCACGCCATCCATTCGCCATTAAAGTCGATTTAAACTACAGCACAGCTTTTCCACGATTTCACCGAACAACGGCTCAGCACAAAAAAACGATGAGAGAAGCGCAACGAGACAAAGGGAGGGAGGAGGAAGAAGGGAGGCGGCAGAGTAAAACATAGAGGCATGTTGCAGATCTGTTAATGCTGGGAAGAAGCCAGAGTGGAGAATGACGAAAACGTGAGAAACTGGAAGGAAGGCGCAAATAGAATCTCGTTGTCACGACTCATTCCTTCATTTCAGATATTCACATTACTGGTATAATTTACAGTTACCATAAACAGAAGTAAACTTCTGCACTAGCTCAGCATATCCAAGAAAGACTACGCCAAAAGCCAAGCAGTTTGTCGTCTCACGGCGTAAACTTCTGCATCAGCAAAACAAACTAACGAGATCAAGTGAAGCCAACTTCTACGGGAAGAGGCAGGACGGAAGGACCAACACAGAAGTGTTAATGACCAGCAATCGGAGATCACGGCTGAGGGAGATGGCGTACAGAATGCGGTGCGGTGGAACAAGGACCACGCTTCACGCGCTGACAGCCTGCCAGCTATAAACATGCATAGCAGCGATTTGTTTACATCCGGCGTTTCTCCGTGGCAACCGATCGTAGTTTACAACGCAGGGGGCGCTTACGCCGCCTCGTCTGGTGATGGGACGACTCCATCGTAAACACGATGCCTCAAAATAACCGCTCGTGCGTGCAGGAGAATCTCACGTGTGCGAGCGGGCTGATAGAGGCACAGAGAATGCTGCTCAAGCAACTGCAGATGTTACACGACGAAACGATGCAATGTCAGGCATTCGGGTTAGCTGGTGTACGTGTGTGTGGGTGCGTGTGCGTGCATGTGTGTGTGTGCATCAAAAGACAAACAAGTACACGAATGTCCACTCTGTGATGGACGCAGAGTATTTTGCTGATGGTTTTGAGATTTTTTTTGCAAGGAAACAAGAACTGTGCTTAAGTCACAAATTTACGAGGTAAACATCTGGAGATTTTAGTACGTTTTCCTAAATTCAAAGCTGGTTTCGCTTAGACACTGCATATGTAATTCACATCCTGTGTTTAATTTGAAAGTGTATTTATTGTACTTAGTTCCAAACCATTTGTCCTAGTTAGGTTTAGGTTATTAAGAACGATGGGTTATAAAAATCATGTATGATGATGACGGTATATATACGTGGACCCTCACTAAGGAAGGATGAAGCCAAAGCAAGTATACGTGCAAGAAGAAAATGCAATTCTTTTCTGTATCCCAGTAACAAATGTTCAGTGAAACGTTAGATGCTAACAACAAAGCTACATTGTCCCACCTCAAACTAGCAGGAGAAGCATTGCTACTGTTTATTGTATGCATCACTGTGGTTAATTATTTGTGTACAATATGGTGGTATCATTATGTAACTAAGGCTGATAGGGTCTATGTCCCCCAGAGTACTGCCGGGACGTACCCTGGTACTAAATACTACTATCTAATATGCCGGACCGTACCTCGCCTACTCCACTAACGAATCTAGGGAGTCGCCTATGCCTACTCCCTAACCCTAACCCTAACTCTAACACTAACCTTAACCCTATAACCCTAACCATATCAGCTAGATAGTTACCAGGGTACGTCCCGGTATACCGGACCGTACCCAGGGTACGATCCGGCAGTACCCAGGGGGATATAGACCCTATCAGTATCAGCGTAACTAAGTGTGCCTCCATAACTTGAATGGACAGAATACATGGGAGAAAGTCATTATGTTGTTCGATGATAGGTATTTTTGTCAATATTACTTTAAATAAAGGCTAAATTAACGGTTTAAAAGTAATTCCATACATCATAGCTTATAAAAATCCACTCCTCGCGATTGAATTATAGGTGTGATGCAGCAGCAGAGAAAATCAAGGACAACTTACAAAATTAAAAAGTTAAATATTTGTTCAATCGCTCGTCGTTACACGGACACATTTGCAGACTGCAAAACATGGCGCTAATGCTATCTTCTGCAGACACTTCAAGTTCTTGCTGCATAGCTCACAGATGTCTATATCTGTTAATAAGATTAATCACTAAGAGTTTTAATTATATAACCTCTGACAGTGGCGCCCGCAGATAAAAGCACTGGAAGCCCAGCGCTTCCAGTAAATTTTGGGTTAAACAATTTTGTTCAGGACTACATTTTGTTCCTAAATCTCTCTCGCAAGACTCACCAGATTGCATCTCCAGACGTCTACCATTCAAAAAATTTCAGGGGGGCATGCCCCCAGACCCCCCTAGCATCCAGCGCGCCTACGGAACTTGCTTTTTATTAGCACTGAGGATTTTATCCTTCTGTGCTTCTACTTTCTTAAGACCTGTGGGCGCCAGTGACCTCTAGGCTCTAGCTGATGCTATATATCTCCCAACGCACTCATTTTTCACGATGACAACGTTCATTTTGCGTTTAGCTACATGCAAACCCTATACCTGTAGCTGTACTTTTCGATGGTCGTTAGGGAAATCGCAAGTCAGGAAATTGAAAAGAAGCCATAGCATGGCATGGGCATGGCGACTTCGTAATGCTTATTTCGTAGAATGTGCCGATGTGTGGATGTGCCAGATATTTATATTACTTGTACGTAGTAGTTGTAGTTGCACATCTACTGCGTTCGATCTGTACGTACGTGACGACACACGCGCGTGCCTGTCTGTATTTATGATGCAGGGCTGGGGTTCAGCCGGCTGTGATTCACTTTTTCGTTTTGTGACAATTAACGCATCATACTTACTTTACTGTTGAAATCTTTCAGTATTTTGTTCACTTCATCTTCTGTGCCACTCTCTAATAGAGCTAGCGTTGATTCGTCCATCTCTGAACGTCTAATAGTGGCATAAAAAGTTAATCCAGTTCGGTTCTCACATTCACAAACACAGATCCACAGAATCACACAACGACGTCTGCGAAGAAAATCTCGTGTTTTCACGAAAATCACGTTCAGCTGATCCCGTCCGCTAGGCTCGCTAGTTGACGATATAGAGTCATAGACGGTCAACCTGTCCCTTCACTGCGCTAAATAAAACACGTTATTACCAAAACCAAAGGGTATATTACCAGTCTAAGCCACACTACGCTGTGTTTGGTTAAATTGGTTTGTGGGGGACAAGTGAGCAGCGATATGGCATCCTTCATAAGTTCTGTGAAATCTTTTCGCCCAGTGTTATTAAAATTGTTTTCGTTAAAGTTTGGTAATTACACGTTTTTCTTACTTAACCTACAGCCAATTAATTGGCCCAAGGATATAAGAGCTGCTTTTGTAAAGCGCTGCTAAGCGCACGTTGCAAATATGACGGGGTTAGCAATGTCAATGTCAATGAATCCATTCCAATTTCCATCATCCATACCATGGGTGATGGAGCATGAACCAATTTACAATTATGTTTACAATTAATGTTAAAAATAAAATTAAATACATTTACGCCCCAACCATTGTTTCTATGTGTTCTTTGCATTGATCATGATACTATTACTTATTAGTATTATTAGTATTATTATTACTACTCCTACAGCCTAGGCCAGGGGAAACAGGGGGGAGGGGAGGGGGAAAGGGAAAGGGAGGGGAAACTAGGGGGGTCCGGGGGGCGTGCTTTTTTACCGTACCACTAATTAATGCGTAAAGTCACCACCACAACATAGACGGTATTTGGGGTTCTTGTGTATATATAAGATAGCCGAGTCGGTTGTGTATGGTCTGCAGTGCATGCGTGGTACGGTAAAAATACACGCGCCGGGTGTCCTGGTCGAATGGGAATTTTTGGCGATCGATTCCCGCGCTGTCAAACTTTTATTGTGGTGGAATTTAATCGGGGCGGAAATAATTTAAACGGGGCGCAACGATTGAAACAGGGGGGAGTTTTCCCAAACGGGGCACGCGCGCCCCGTTTGCGCAACGTAGAGAGAACCCTGTCCTACTCGGGCTACTGCTAGTGCTGTAGTCCAGCATAACAATGCATCAACAGCCAAATTAACACTGTCCTGACACTTGAAGTGTCACTTTCTTCTGTGCTGTGCAGCTTGTTACAGGAATCCACACACCAATGTTCCATTATGTGGTATCTAGTTGAGTTACTATTTCAAAAGCAAATCGTATTTTCTCGTACTCTGTCAGTATCGCTCCATCTGCGTCAGTATCATCCGAAAGCTCAAGTTGGATGAGTTACGCGTAGTAAATCGTAGGTATTATAAGGCTAGTAAATGACGAATTTCCCTTGTTTATTGTTGTCACACTCCTCCCTATTATACACTCCTGATAATATATAGGATCCTATATAGGATAATATAGGATATAGGATCCTATATTATCTTACTCCTGGTATTATTATTACTACTCCTACTCAGGCTACTGCCAGTGCTGTAGTCCAGCATAACAACGCGTCAACAGCCGCGTCAACAGCGTCTGTCCTTACACTTGAAGTGTCACTTTCTTCTGTGCTGTGCAGCTTGTTACAGGAATCCACACACAAATGTTCCATTATGTGGTATCTAGTTGAGTTACTATTTCAAAAGCAAATCGTATTTTCTCGTACTCTGTCAGTATCGCTCCATCTGCGTCAGTATCATCCGATCATGAATATTGCTTTCGACATCGATTTCGCTTTTCGCATGCAAATTAAACTTGTAACTTTTACAAGCTTTATCAATTTCAGAGTAAAATTGTCTTCGCTACCCCGAACCTGAAAAATTTGTGGCAAACGCCACTGTGTCCCCGAAATAGTTTGAAAACTGAATTTAGCACCTGATCTAATGCATAATACAGTTAACGCTTTGTCATGCTTTAGGAAATGTCCACCACACAAGGACGATATCGGCATTGGTGCAGCTGTCAGAAACGCACGAGATGTTACGGAAAACCTGCCGTGACTTTGCACAGAACGAACTGAAGCCGATAGCTGCTCAAATCGACAGGGACCACCAGTACCCGAAAGAACAGGTATGCAGATCATGATGTTTACCGGTCACATACGATATAGACAGTCCCTGGTTGATGTGCCTGGTAGTGCCCCTTGAGTTACGCAAACTTACTCGCATAATGACGTCTGGGGCACAGTGCATAGTGCGCGTGCCAATTTGAACATTGGATCGGACTGCCAGACGTACGTTTGATCCGACAAATGCACGTAAACGTTGACTCACGTAAATGGTCTCGGAACATAAAGCTCATGTAAACCATAGGGGGTGACTATTGGGTGCATGTCCAAATCGAAACTCAACGGGTTGATTAGATTTACATTAAACCATCAACTAGATGGTAAACGGTAGCGGGCGTTTAGCTTGTAGACTCATAGATAAGCTAGCCTCTATTTACGTTTTTTCGTAGGTGCGTAAGATGGGAGAGCTCGGACTGTTGGCGATCGACGTTCCGGAGGAAGATGGCGGTACGGGACTCGACTACCTCGCATATGCCATCGCCATGGAGGAGATCAGTCGTGGATGCGCATCTGCCGGTGTTATAATGAGTGTGATGAATGTAAGTAAAAGACCGGCGCTAATGACGGCAATCTAAACAGCTAACGAATCTTAATCAGATTAGCAGTCTAGGCAAAGCCGATTGTAAATTGTAAATGAATTAATCTTCTGTATGAGGCAATGATTCTACCTGCAAATTATCTCGTCCATTTGATAAATTTTTTAATTTGTTTCACATATTTTGCAGTCACTTTACCTGGGACCGATCAAGAAGCATGCAAATCCAGCACAAAAGGAACAGTTTCTGAGGCCGTTCGTTGGCGGAGAGAGGGTCGGATGTTTTGCGCTGAGTGAACCAGGTAAAGGCAGACATGGCTGATGTTCTCGTATCTCACACGAGTGCATTGACAGATCTTAAACTTAAGAGTCTACACAGGCATAATTGTTTATGAAGGAGGGAATATACAATGTCAAACAGATTATAATATAGCCTTCCTTTTTCTACTTTTACATTCTGTATGTAATACATGCAAGTTCTCTCTGGCAGGAAACGGCAGCGATGCTGGTGCAGCGTCCACCATGGCTAAGGACAACCCTGACCACTGGCTTCTGAATGGCTCAAAGGCTTGGATCACGAATGGATACGAGGCGGAGGGAGTTGTTCTCTTCGCAACAACCGACAAAGCTCTCAAACACAAGGTATCTGCAATATGTATTCGAATTGGGAGGCTCCACTGATTCAGATTTCGTGTCTTCGACGAAGAAGGTTTATGCCATGATAACAATGATTGACTCGTTTTCACTTATGGTAGTCTCGTCAGGTTCTTCTAACTTTTGCTTTGCGTTGAAGTACAGTGTTAAGCTAAATTTCTCCCACAGACTTATGCTGCCTAAACTCGCAAAATCAAACGGTTGATAAAAATTATATTTCTTCTCTATACGCACACGAGATGCGACCACTATCCCTCACCATCCTGACTACATGTTCTGCGGTCGGACGAAAGTGTGAGAATATTGGAATTTTTTTCCGCAAATTTCAGGGTATAAGTGCGTTTCTGGTTCCGAAACCCATGGCAGGTCTCTCAGTGGGGAAGAAGGAAGACAAATTGGGCATCAGGGCTAGCTCGACCACCACTCTGACGTTCGAGGATTGCAAGCTGCCGAAAGAGAACATCCTCGGTGAACGCGGAATGGGCTTCAAAATTGCAATGGTGCGTTTTTTCATGAGAATGCGATGGGAACGAGCGAGAGCGAAGTTATGCCCGATACGTGTCCGGCTTATTTAGGTGTTGCTCAATATTTGTATACATTACAGGGTTGCGGGTGCTAATGCTACCAGTGTTGCATGTTCCAGTTTATATCGTTTTTATACATTTACATGTCTCACACGCAAGGGAATGTCTTTATTGTCTCTATTGGTTTCACAACAACATGGTTCATGTTGAAATTTAATGAGCTTTGTGTATAAATTCTTTACTCTTGTTCCGTGATAGGAAACGTTAGATGCTGGCAGAATCGGCATTGCGTCGCAAGCATTGGGCATTGCACAGGTAAGTACTATATATAGTTTACGCTACTAAACATTTCTTCCGATAATTTACGTTATAGTTGTTGTATATGTCAAACATTTTAATGAGGATGCATATTGTAATTTGCTGTGATAGTTCCCTTTCCTAATATCTCTGCAGGCTTCCCTCGATTGTGCTGTTGACTATGCAGGAACAAGACAGGCCTTTGGAGCTCCGATAGCCAAGCTGCAAGCTATTCAGGTTTTCATATCCTCTAACCTCTAATCAACTAATGCATTAGTGTGTAACCAGTATAGATTAATCGTGGAAATTCTATAATAATCAGGATTAGAATTAATTGCATTGAATTTAGCTGAGATGTTATTAGTTGGTAATGTGATTCTGTATTTATTATTTGGGAGTCTGCTGCCTGTATATTTATAACAGATTTTGTTTTTCGACAGATGACATTAGCGAACATGGCTGTGGCGCTAGAATCGGCAAGACTGCTCACTTGGCGTGCAGCTTCTCTGAAGGATGCTGGGAAGAAATTTACGAAGGAGGCGGCCATGGCTAAGCTGGCTGCATCCAAAGCAGCAACCTTGTGTTCCCA